ATATGGTCAGACAAGTAGATTATGACCTCATATGGTCAGACAAGTAGAGAATGACCTCAGGTGATCAGACAAGTAGACCATGATCTCATATGCTCAGACAAGTAGAGTATGACCTCATGTGATCAGACAAGTAGACCATGATCTCATATGCTCTGACAAGTAGAGTATGACCTCATCTGATCAGACAAGTAGATTATGACCTGAGGTGGCAAGACAAGTAGATTATGACCTCATGTGATCAGACAAGTAGAGTATTGACCTCATGTGGTCAGACAAGTAGAATAAGACCAAACGCGATTATATCCAGTAGAGTATATCGTTACGTAGTCAGACCAAGTAAAATACAATGCCATGTGGTCAGACCAAGTAGATTATGACCTCAGGTGTGAGGGAACTGTAAATAGTCAGACAAGTAGAATGGCCTACTTTATAATCAAACAAGTAGAACTGCACTGTAAGTAAGCCAACATTATACAATGACACATGTCTATGCTGAAACAAGTATAATATAAAAATTGATTGTCAGACAAGAAGATAAAGTCCCAAATTGATCAGGCTAAGCTTAATACCCAAACAAGTGGAATAAATAATATACAGTCAGACATAGACTGATTCAATCCCAATTGTATAAAATACAAATATCTTCTTTGCAAATAATTATCCCTCGTCAATAAATGCACATATAAGACCAATTCGAAATAATGAGAGTATCACAAAATCTTGAAATTGTGAAACTGTGTAACAAATGTAAGAGTTCAGAAGCTTGCATAATTATGAAAGAGGACATTCTCCATGGAGTAGGAAGAAGCCAACGTTGCAGCAAGTATACGCTAATTCACGGTAGATAGCAGTTTGTCAATTGCGCTAGCTCAGCCGATGTTTAGCCGAGAGCTCAAAGCCTCAGCCCTTTAGATCTGACGAATCAACAGTTGCAGCACGAAGCCGTCGTAAACGGTTGCAGGGAATTATGAGCAGTTACAACGGCAGCAACCGTGCCATAATAAAGAAGCTTCGTAGGTTCGTAAGGGTGGTCCCTCTGTGTGGATTCGACGAGAATGCCTGCCGGTAGATTGTGCTTCGTGGCCGGGAATTCGTGGTCGTCGGCAAACGCGTAATTAGTTTGGACCGAGTAACGCAGTAATTAAGCTGGTTTAACTCCTTTATCAAGACAGAGGCTCGTCTACCTTGGCTTCCTAACGGTCGACTCCCTGCGGCTTCTTGGTTTCTACGTTTTCCTCCAGAAACGACTTCCGAACTTCGAAATATTCCCAGAAAGAACAACCCGGTCATTTCGCGAATCACCTTTTTCTGTTAACTGACACGGCGCAATCCCCTGGTGTTAGGTTTCCGAATATTTCGCGATCGTTCAGTTTCTCAATTGGAAAATTACTGATTATGAGCCCCGCCGGTGGAATACCATCGGTATCGAGTTTAACGGCTGATCGACCGTTATTATTGAGTTCTACTACTTGGTGATTATCGGTATCACGTTCCGCCGTTCACACAGGTCAACATCGAGTTTCGTGGCTCACCGGTATTCAGTTTTACGGCTGAGAGATCATTAGCTAGTATGGTGTTGTATTTCGCCATTCGAACCTTATTGGATTTCAAACTTGACTTCCTGTATCGTTGTCATTGTATTCTATTACCTTTTAAAGACTATTAATAACCAGCGCTACAACCGTTTTGTAATGTGGCTGGTAATGGTACAAAATTTATGTACATACGGAAACATTCTACACTTCAATATTTTTTAAACTTCCTATTTTTATTTATTTTTTAATGTAGCTAATAATGGTACAAAATTTATGTACATAAGAAAACATTCTATATTTCATTGTTTTTTAAACTTCATATTTTTAATTATTTTTTAATGTAGCTGATAGTGGTACAAAATTTATATACATAAGAAAACATTCTATATTTCATTGTTTTTTAAACTTCATATTTTTAACTATTTTATAATGTAGCTGATATTGGTACAAAATTTATGTACAAAAGTAAACATACTACACTTCAATATTTTTTAAACTTCCTATTTTTAATTATTTTTTAATGTAGCTAATATTGGTACAAAATTTATATACATAAGAAAACATTCTATATTTCATTGTTTTTTAAACTTCATATTTTTAATTATTTTTTAATGTAGCTAATATTGGTACAAAATTTATGTACAAAAGTAAACATTCTACACTTCGTTGTTTTTTAAACTTCATATTTTTAATTATTTTTTAATGTAGCTAATATTGGTACAAAATTTATGTACATAAGAAAACATTCTATACTTCATTGTTTTTTAAACTTCCTATTTTTAATTATTTTTTAATGTAGCTAATAATGGTACAAAATTTATGTACAACAGTAAACATTCTTCACTTAATTATTTTTTAAACTTGAAATTTTTAACCATTTTGTAACGTGGCTGATAATGGTACGTAATTTATGTACAACAGTAAACATTCTGCACTTAATTATTTTTTAAACTTGAAATTTTTAACCATTTTGTAACGTGGCTGATAATGGTACAAAATTTATGTACACAAAAAAACATTTTACACTTCATTATCTTTTAAACTACAAATTTTTAACACTTCTCTACATGATTTTATAAATGTACAACAAAGAGGTGATCTTAAAGAAGTTACATCACATGACAAACATATTTTAATAAATTTCCTTCTTACAACATTTTTATCAAATTTGTTTCTCCAGTCAAAAATTATAATTAAGAAGAAGAAAAAATATTTTCAATGATATAATAAAGTACTATAGTCCTTTTTAACAAAATAAGAGATTTCTTCTACAAATTATTTTTATAAAGAGGTTTTTTCTACAAATTTTTGAAAAACGGATTCGATGAAAGGAAGAAGCTGACGACAGAGAATCAGAAAAGTTGTAGGAGGGTCGATGACGAGTATGCACGAAGGTAACGTGGTTGCAGGGTATAAAGAATAGCTCGTTAAGCAACGGTGCACGCTCGTTTCCTTGCTTAAACAGCACGAATGGAGAAGCGACGTGCTACAACGTTAACGATTTTTTTTTTAACCAGAAAGCTCGACACGTAATATCCCGGATCGTCCATTTAAAACGGGCCAGCTGCCGAATTATTAACTATCAATTACACGGGCTGGCTCGTCGATAGCGTCGGAGTCGATTTGCTACGTAATCTCGAACGACGATACTTGCCTCGGGAACGAATTAATTCGCTCATCGATTCGATTATATTGCTACCGTGCAATTTGCGTTGTTCGAACCACCGTTGCCGATCGATTCAACGCATCTACTTGCTTTTTGTTATTTTCATGAAAAAAGCTACTCCTTCGTTGATCGCTTTTGCGTCCGTTTTACGCGACGATTAAAATGCAGTAGAAAAGTTGCAAAAAACGAGAGTTTAATTGGACTTTTGACGAGAAACATCCGAATCAGATTCATTTTATTTTGTAAAAATAAATTTTTTAATAACATTTTCTCTGAATATACCATTCACAAGAATTCAAAAACACAGCTTTTCAAAATTGAAAAGAGTTATGCAACGAAGAGTTAATTTAACTCTTCCCTTTCACGCGATACGTCCATGAAGATTCATCGGTACGAAAAATTCTGCAACGTCGAATATTTCGGTGTTCTTTTCTTCTCAAGTATTATACAAAAATAACGAACACATGTTCCATAACGGAGGACATTTTTCGCTGGATACGTTGAAGGAAATTCCAAGCAACGAAATTTAACAGAGCCGTATAATACCGTGAAAGAGGAAGTAATATTATAAAATTATAATTAACATGGCCGAGCGTGCTAAACGTATTATAATAGTATTTCAGTTTACGAGGCACGAGCCTTTTCACGAGGCGCAACATTGTCGACCATGCTAACCTTACAACCTGGTAATTCCGTGTTATGACGATGCAGTGCTTAACGATTATGCAACTCTCTTGTGCTGCGAATATTCCTCGATTTTTCCTGCTGGAAAACTGTCGGGAAATTTCGACACTGTACATCCACAAACACTGCGATAAACAGTTTTACATATTGTTACTATAATTTTATTGTTTGTTAGTATTGTTTATTACTGTTTATTGTAATATTTACATGTGTACGCATGTATGCACACATATGTGTATGTATGTATGTGTATACATGTGTGCATGTATTCATGTATGCACACATATGTGTATGTATGTATGTGTATACATGTGTGTATGTACTCGTGTATGTACACATATGTATATGTATGTATGTGTACACATGTGTGCATGTATTCATGTATGCGCACATATGTGTATGTATGTATGTGTATACATGTGTGCATGTACTCATGTATGTACACATATGTATATGTATGTATGTGTACATATGTGTGCATGTGCATATGTATGTACACATATGTACATACATGATTGTATGTGTATATATGTATGTATTAACATGTAACGTACATGTAATACCTTGTACATCTAATGTATGTATAACATCTTATCGTGTATGACGTACATATATGTGAACATACATATGTAAATATAAGTACATATGTGATATACGATAATATATTGTATGATGTTATTATACATAATGACATTCCTATTATTTGTTACTATTATTACCACCCATTACACATCATCAACATACGACAACAATTCACACCCTTTTCACAAAAAAAAAATTAACCAAACAAAATACGTAATACATCAAAACATTAAAACACAGTAACATCATTTTCCCCAGACTTTGCATCTCCCACCGACAATAGCAGTAGCAATTAAATTAGCAACGAAAATGCGTAGAAAAGAATTTAGAAACGCGCAGATGGAGGGAGATTAAATGGTTCGTTTAAAAAATGATATTCCATTATTTCATTGTAGCGTGCGTCGACTTTGAGAGAGAATAAAATGACAGCAAGAGAAAATGGAACGAAGCTGCATCGCAATGCGGTTCAGCAATTAAAGTGTTGCTCGGGGAACAGTTTCATCTAACGACTCTCGCGTTCCCTTTTGTTGCAGATGTCAAGAATGTCCTGTGGTGAAGCCGACGTTCCTTTGCGGAAGCGATAATCGCACGTACAGTTCCCCGTGCCGGCTCGAGTACCACAATTGCATCCACCACACGTCAGTTCGCACTACATGCAAAGGCTTTTGCCCTTGCAAAGGTAAGAATATGCGATTCTAGGTATACTGCTGACTATGCTAGATTTTGCTACGGAATATCGCGATATAGGGAGAGGCGAGTTGGCTAGATTCTGACGAGTGGGTGAGATGTAGGATCAGTTTAAGGGTTTCTGAGTTCTGTGATGTAAATTGATGGGTTATTCAAAATTTTGGAAATTTGGAATTGGGGAGATTTGGAATTGGGGAGATTTGGAATTTGGGAGATTTGGAATTTGGGAGATTTGGAATTTGGGAAATTTGGAATTGGGGAGATTTGGAATTTGAGAGATTTGAAATTTGGGAGATTTGGAATTTAGGAAATTTGGAATTGGGGAGATTTGGAATTTGAGAGATTTGGAATTTGGGAGATTTGGAATTTGAGAAATCTGGAATTTGGGAGATTTGGAATTTGAGAAATCTGGAATTTGGGAGATTTGGAATTTGAGAAATCTGGAATTTGGGAGATTTGGAATTTGAGAAATCTGGAATTTGGGAGATTTGGAATTTGAGAAATCTGGAATTTGGGAGATTTGGAATTTGAGAAATCTGGAATTTGGGAGATTTGGAATTTGAGAAATCTGGAATTTGGGAGATTTGGAATTTGAGAAATCTGGAATTTGGGAGATTTGGAATTTGAGAAATCTGGAATTTGGGAGATTTGGAATAGGGATTTGGAATTTGGGAAACTTGGAATTTGGGAGATTTGGAATTTGGGAGATTTGGAATTTGGGAGATTTGGAATTTGAGAGATTTGGAATTTGGGAGATTTGGAATTTGGAAGATTTAGAATTTTGAAATTTAGAAAATTTGGAAATGTTCAAAGCATCAGTGCACCAATCTAATAACTTTCCACACTCAAATTACCAACAGCCCAAATTTCCCTCTCTTCCACAATCCCTAACATCGACATGGAAGCCTCATTCTTATCGTGGCCACTTTTTCACCGAGTTCGGACACTCCTCGACCGTTTAATCACTTTAACGAACCGTTCGTAATCCGGAATTCAGGCGAAGCATTTTCTCTGTACTTTACACGTGGAATTAATTCGTTAGTTTATTCATAGACGGCAGCGTGTAGTCGGTTTAACAATGGAGCCGTGTTTGCGCCTCTCCGCCAGGACCCAGGTACAAGCACACCCTCCATGAATATTCATAATTGCCTGTTAGAACAATAATGTCGCTGTTAAAGCGTATGAAGCTGCACGTCTCGTGTCTGCGCGTCTCGTATGGCAAGAGGGAAGAATAATCAGGGGTCAAGGAATGTCGACTGTGCGGTGAAAAAATTGAAAATACAGACGCGAGTATTTGTGTGGAAAAAAGTTTGCGTGTTAAACGTTTACTTGGAATGGTACTTCATTCGAGAACTTGGGATTGTTAGTATTTCAAGTTTGTATAGTTACTGATATTTAACTATTGGTATTTATAAGTTATGTGGTCAATTTTGAGGTACATGTTTTTAGCTACTGTTTGGGTAATGAATATTGAGCTACTGTTTCATATTTGTATTGATAGTAATATTTGTAAGTAATACAGGGTTTCTCACAACTGGTGTAGATCTCTGAAATCAGGTGTCAAGGAGGTAGCTGACTTGATTCTGAATAAAATTTTCCTTTGCAACAATGGGATTCGAAGCTTCGTTTTTGAATTATTAAGGAAAAACACGGACCAATCAAAGCGC